TTAACTTACAAAAGCGGACACTTCGGAAAAAATAGACACGAGTTATCACTGCGGCTTGCTAGAAATCTAATACACTCGCGAGCGTTTCGATATCATCTCCGCCCAACAATTTTTCATTACGCCTCGAGAGTAAGTAACACGTGCTCTAACAAAGTGCACGAGGTTCGTTTATGCACCGTGGTAAGATAAAGCGACTTCTCTCTCGATCGATCGCTTTTCCCTTCGCCCCCTCAGGCACGCGCTTTGCAATTGACTATAAACTTGCTGCTAAATTTATATCAAGAATGCCCCTACGTCGTCCGATTAAAGGAGACTCTTACGAGCTGCTCTCGTTTTCTCTCCTTTTTCTAGATTGCTGTGACCCCCCGTTATCGATTCGGTTGCACCTCCCTCCCTCCCCCCTCCCCCAAGACCACTTCTCGCAAAGAAAATAATCCATGATTTCGCTGTATCATCGCTATCGCACCTTCCCATTTTCCATACATCGCCGGCTGTTGATGGACAAGTCACAGTGACCGATGTAACGACGCTACGCAACACTACGTGTACATGGTCGGGTAAGTGACCATATTTTGCGGAAGGGAGGTAACGTAGTTTGGAGTGGGTGGTCGGGGGCTATGCCACTGTGGTCAGAGAGCTCGCAATTTCTTTATACCCGCTTGAACGTAACGCACAAGCTCACGTAGCGAGCTATACGATGTCAAGGGTCCCAATCTTCGATCCAAGTCGATGAAAAAGCCTAATAACGCAAGAAAAACAAACCGGTCATTATAAATCAAAACGAGATTTATCTCGTGTGCTTTATTTTCCAATACGTACTTCTATTCTCTTCCTGTCTCGCCTGCTTTATTGCCTGGTCCCATAGGTCGTGGCCATTCATAAGTAAGCCTGAACACTGATTTTGCTTTATCATCGCATTGAAGACTTGCAATGGCACGCTAATATGGCCATTGACCGGTGGTTGTTGTACCGGTGGTTGTTGTACCGGTGGTTGTTGTACCGGTGGTTGTTGTGCCGATGATTGTTGTTGTTGTTGTTGTTGTTGTTGTTGTCCACTGCTGCTATATCCAGAGGAACTTTGACTACCGACGGAACCTACAGAACCAGCAGGCGATGGTGTTGGCGAAAGAGAAGGCGTGCCCTGTCCTTCCGCCTGAGCAGGTGTTGTTTGAGCTGCTGATTGCTGAGAATGCTGAAATACATTTTTGAAGAATTACAACTCATACACCGATTTATATCTAGGATAGTTATAGATCATAATAAAATGAGGATTGTAATATGTCCGAAATAATTATCACATTGGGCAACGTAATTATGATCCAATAAAAAATCACTCACCTTTTGATTGAAGTCATTGACGATCTTCTGAACCTCTTTCATTTCCTGTTTGCGCATGTTATATAGTTTGGAGTACAAACGTGATTGACACCAAAGGCTAGAAAGACAAATAATTTTGAGACACATTCCGCTTGTGCGATATTATTTGTACGATTGAAAGAAGAGAAGGTGCACTCACCTCAAGATAGCCAGTTTAGTGTGTATGCTATTCTCAGGTGAATTGTTCGGTTGGCTCTTAAATTTCGACGAGATGTATCTGTGAAACAAAGAAAAAAACGCTTTAATTAGCCAGCTCTCTCCTCTCTTTACCACACGTGTACGCGTCTTAATTAAAAATGTACTCACTTGATGAGACTAAGAGTATCTTTGTACATAGTATACGATGCTTTTTCTGTAACTGAGTCTGATTCCATCGCGTCGCCTGTTAGAAGAAAATACAGAGCAGCCTCTAGATACATCATGCCTTGTGCCGTAAGATCGTTCTCCACATCGGCATTGTGCTTTAGTCGCTTAGCTTCGGTCAGGTACTGGTCATGGTCCCTGAAATACAAATATAAGTATATGCTGTTATATTAAGAAACTAATTATATATGTGTGTATATATATATATATATAAAACTAATTACATATTTATTTATATTAACTATAT